GTGCCTTACTAGTAGTAACAAGAACGCTAGTAGTAACAAGTGCCACGCTAGTAGTAACAGGTGCCTTACTGGGAGTAACAAGAACGCTACTCGGAACAGGCATCCCTAAAACTCCTTGCCGTCCAAGCTGACGGACTTGCCAAGCCGTCACTCCGAGTGGCCCGAGCGCTCCCAAGCCCTTCTTTCGGGTCACCGCTGTTGGCGATTTCTGTCAATTGCAAATGGGTTCGTTACGACAAATGCATGTTTGAGGATGTTGATTTGTTTTGAGTCTGCGTTGCTTGGATGTTTGAGCAGTGAAGAGCCATAGGAGGTGAAGGTGCTTATTCTGTGGACAGATGGCTCTGCCTGGACAAGCAAAAAATACAAGGGATCTGTGATCTGTGTTCGATTTCCACATTGAAAATTGAGCCATCCGACGATTGTGCAACCATTGTGGTTTGCTCAAAGCCAGTTATATACATGAGTTGATCTATTTGAGCCATGCGTGATTTCAATTCTTGATTTCACCAGCAGTCAGTATGAGAGCCTTGCATTGGGCAAGCTGCGGAACCAACTACCTACCAAGTCTCCCGAGCAGTTCTACCCCAAAACGACTGTTTTCAAGAAGGTGCATATTTGGCAGATTTCTTCTGCAATGGCAGATTTGGAGGATTTGAGCTGGGCTGATGTTGAGATCTCAGTTTGAACTGGTTCACTGGTTCAAAGGCATCAAAGGCCAAGGGACCTGACGAAGAGAGAGGAAGAGAGAGAGGAAGAGAGAGAGAGAGAGAGCGTGCTCAACAAAATGGAGACGAACCTGTCTGAGACTCCGTTCTTTGTGGATTCCGATCGGTTCTTGTTCGGTCTGAGGCTAGAAGGCTTTGTCGAACAGTACTTGCTGAGATACCTTGGTGACTACATCTTTGGTGTTGTCGCTTGGCCAAAAGTGTTTTGATCGTAGAGAAGGGCTGGACAAGGTCGCTTAGTTGTCGTATATTCAGAAAGATATTCAATGGCCTCCAACCTAATAGCATCGCTTGTTGTCGTCTACTTTAAAAGGTCCTTTCGACATGTTTTCATCCTCTGGCCATCCTCGAAGCCGTTTCAACACCGAAAACCCCCGAGGGACCGTGTTGAAGCGGGACTCTTGCATGGAGTCTGAATGGTAATAGCGAACTGCAGCCACCTAACCGCAAACAAGACATATTTTGTAATCCATTTGTCACATCATGTTTCTATTTTTTTTTTCCCACATATCACATAACTTTGTCACATCTAACATTTCCTTTTGATTGTTTCCTTTGTGGTGAAAAGGCTGAACCCAAGTTCCTTTCAAGTTTCTCAATCTCTCCCAATTTGCTTCAAATGCTAGAAGAGTCTTCAAGCTTTCAATAAAGCAAGAAAGGAAATAAAAGAAATGAATAAGGCACCGAAAGCACTTAATCACTGAACCACATAGAAGTGACATTTACCTAGCTTTTCTTCTTAAGAAGAACACAAACCCACAACTGGGCAGACACAAACAAGCTGGAAGCCGCGGCGCTGTGAACGATGGGTGTCTGGGGTGTCTCCCCTGTCTTCCGCTCGGTTTGGGGCTTGGGGTGTCACCACAAAGACAACGACATCACAAACCCTCAAAACGAATCCACGAGAGAATTTGTTGCAAAGTTCACTCCCAGAACTTGTGGATCTGCTTTCCTTGGAACTACTCTCATCGAATCTCTTCAGAATGCGCAGCGCCAGGGCCAACTTTGCTTTGTCGGATAACCCGTACTAACGCCGTACAACCCCTGCCTCCCTCTCTCTCTATCTTTGTTTCTAGTGGGGTGCTTGGGTGCTTGGCTTAGTGGGTCAACCCAAACCCTAACCTCAAAGGTTCTCCAAACCATCACCTCCTGGGGAAGGTCCAAAACGTTTCAACACACCATGCTGATAGCCTGTGCGACACCAGTGACAACAAGAGTTGAAAGCACCTGACTACGCCAGTCACCCATTTATACAACATTCCAGCCACACTGTTCCAAACCTAGTGGCGCCCTTGGTTTCATTCGGTTTCGGCAACGTTCTTCATATGTCGCAGTTTCAGGTGGGAGGAGAAAGGAAAAAGGCAGACCTGCAGAGCTAACTTGAACACGTGGAAAAGGAATGTGAGACATGGAAGACAGTGTATATAACATGTTTTGATGAAAGCGATATCAGTAGGAATGAATTGCCTTCGCATGTGTCCCTTGAGGATAAGCAGAACTTGTCTGTGACCACATGGCGTGGGGAGATCCATTTGCGGAGTGCACGCTTGAAACAGGAGGTCGTGGTCACTCGACGACATGAGGGATGGGAAAGCTTCATTTCTTCAGGCTGAAGCTTTCAGGATCATATTTTTGAGCAAATCTCTGAGTGTGAGGCCTTTGCTATCCTGGCCTTACTACTAGGAGCAAGGATGCTACTAGGGGCTCCTGGCCTTACTACTAGTAACAAAGACGCTAGTAGGGGCTCCTGGCACATGGATGTAGCACACCAATTGGTTCACCCCTAAAGCATTCATCAGAATCAGACCCTTATGCATTCAATCTGACCCGACTCAAGCATGTCTGAGGAACTGCTGAACCTCCCTTTCCAACTCATTGTGGGCGAGGCCAGTGTCAATGCTTGCCATCGTTGTGTTTGGAACCAATTTCATGCACAGTTTCCTTGTAGTCTCATGATTCTCATGCAGAAGAGATGCTGAGCTTAGATAGGCCGCCGACCTGAAGATCAACGTCCCGTGGAACCGTCTTGGCAGTCGACCGGTTGGAACCTCGACCGGTTGAAACCTTTGACGTTTGGAACTGAGAAGTGGATCGAAGAGGATCGGCAATCGGCGGGCATCCAGGTGCAAGCTTCAGAATCTCCATTTCTCCATGATCCTTCTGTGAATTTCTTTGTTGCGTTCCTCTTGGTCTTTTTGAAATTCACTTTATGCCTCCTCAAAGAACAAGCGTTCTTGCTCCTGATAAGTTAGGACTTTAGTCCAAAGTCGACCTAAGTTACTGCCGTTACCCGACCAAGACACTATGTAGCATGTTCAGGTTTACGCGGCGCTCGCTGGCACTTGATGGTGACTTTCAGGTGGTGGTGGAGCTCACAGGCCTCCGTGTCTTGCTGGGCCCGAAGCCCGCCACTGAATGGTCTAACGAGGAGGAGCTCCGCCGTGTGCAGTTGGCCAGGCGCGATCCGCTCCGGATCTCCCAAAGGAAAGGGTGGACATATCACATGTCGTATCTGTATCAATCTTGTAATCTCTTGTTTTGGCTTCGGACACATGCTTTTCTGAGTGTGCTTTTTTGGAGAACTGCACACTCCAGGCAGAGGCTTGTGGACCGGGCTGATCTTCTTGGACCCGATGATCGAAAGGAAGGCCGCGCTGTTGTCGGCTGCGACTGCTGTGAATGCTAACCTATTAGCGATGGCCTCCAACCTAATAGCAATGGCTTGCAGGGTGCTGAGTGCCATTTGGAATCTTTTTCAAGTAATGCCAAGCTACCTGCGTTTCTTTTTCCGCAATGCAAGCAGGTTATCTTGGTCGACTGATCACGCGCATCAGTGACAACCTTGAGCTGCAACTGCGTGACTTGCACATTCGCTTTCAGGAGCAGTAACCAGACACACATGACATGTGTGTGGCAGATGCCACCAGAAGTGCTATAAGAGAGAATGCATGTGAACCGTAGTGAACCGTGGGTTTCCCGTCTTTACTTTTGCTTCAGTTTGACAGCAAGAGTTTCCTTAAATTGAAGAGAATGGCAAAGGTGAACGAAAGGCACATTTCGAATGGACACGCAACTCGAATCACAACTCGCTGATGTAGAAACATCGCATTTTCCATTTGTCTTTCACTTCAGGACGATTCCCCAGCGGCCGGGGGTCCGCCGGTCTCGGGTGGTTTGCATTTGGCCTCCCTGGAGGTGCAGAGTACAGGCGACGAAGCGAAGACGGATTCGACATGAAAACGGGAGATGGTCTAAAACGGTTGCGGAATGTTGCGGAAAGGAAGGTGACATGAAAGAAAGGACATTCAAAAAGAAAGCACAAGCGTCAGATTAAGAGTTGCTGTCCAGTAGGTTCTGAGGTGGATGGTGAACAGTTTATTTTTCACTGTTCGCAGTCTTTTTGTCATTTTGTTGTCATTGGTGTTTGTCACTTTAACGTCATTTTGTTTTCGTTTGTTGTTGCAGTTGCGTGCTTTGGGTTTAGCATGCTCCTCAAACGTCTTGAAACTTCAATAAAACAAGGACAGAAGCTGCCTTATTACACATCATTAAGATCATTTAAGATCTATCGATCACTTTCTCTTCTTCCCCAAAGACGACTTCTCCCCGGTGTCTCTCTGTTTTGCGGCGCCCGGTGTTTGTCCCGACGACGGTTCGGCGCCTGGGCGCCAAACGGAGTCTCGAGTTGGGCAGTCCAATAGCACTTGTTCCTAGTAGCGTCCTTCTTACTACTAGTAAGGCACCTGT